CCTCAGCTCTGAGCTCCAACCCCTCCCATCTGAGAGAGCTGGACCTGAGCTACAATCATCCAGGAGACTCAGGAGTGACGCTGCTGTCTGCTGGACTGAGAAGTACACTCTGTCCTCTGGAAACTGTCAGGTGTGGTCAAGTTATAATTTGTTTCAAGGTATTTGAGATATTTCTCTAAAATATGACATTCATTTATTGTAAATGTAAAGTCCACACTCAAAATATTAAAACCAATGTCATTTGTCTTGTTCATTATCATTATTATTATTTTTTTTTTCAAAATGAATTGAAACATCTCTCTAAAGTTTCAACTCAATTTAATTTAAACAGCTCCTCTCATGACAGGATTTTATGACTGTACATCAAATCTTTAAATGTTTCCAATGTGTTTTGTTCTTATTCAGATTCTCATGTTGTACGTCACAAAATATAAATGCTGGCTGAGAGTAAGAAACTGTGTGTGTGTGTGTGTGTATGTGTGTGTGTGTGTGTCTTTGATTACTGTTTCTTCTTGATTTAGTCATGAGTAGCTGTCACGTCTTCCACGTTTCCAGTAAAATACTGCAGAGATGTAAGTGTGTGGAAATCCTTTTCTACCAATCTGGACTCATTGTTGTTTTCAGCACGTTGCCAAGACTGAGCCGGGTGGAGCGGTAGCTATTCTGCATCATAGTAACACTGCAGGAATTTTAACTTGTGCTGAGAAGAGACTTTATGCTGTGTCACTGAGAGTCTAAACTCAATGTTTTAACACAAATATCATTTGTCTTGTTATTCATTATTTCCTCTCCAGACTGAGTGGCTGTAACCTCTCAGAGAGAAGCTGTGAAGCTCTGTCCTCAGTTCTCAGCTCCCAGTCCTCCAGTCTGAGACACCTGGACCTGAGTAACAACAACCTGCAGGATTCAGGAGTGAAGCTTCTTTCTGTTGGACTGCAGAGTCCACACTGTACTCTGGAAACTCTCAGGTCAGGATTCAACCTGGCATGAAATTCAACACCTTTTACAGTGTGATTTACATCAGTGGATAAACAGCTAACCTGTGTTGTGTCTGTTGATATGATCTGTCAAAGGACCTTTAACCAGTCCTTCCAGAAAAATGCAGAGGTTTTTTTTGATTGTTGCTGGTAAAAATCCTTGATTATGCGGCACATTTTCTTAAAAAATGCAATGGAACATGCGGGATATTCATGCAATTTCATGCGATGAAATTGCAGGAACTTGCAAAAATTGCGGGAACTTGCAAAAATTGCGGGAATTTGCAACAATTGCAGGAATTTGCAAAAATTGCGGTTTGATGAAAAATAGGAAAAAAGTGATTCCTCCAACACCCTGTTGTCACTAGGCTACTACCTTAATGTAGTAATTTCTAATTACTTCCTATGATAAGCAAGCATACTACATCACAGAAAGTGCAGAGAATATTTAAGTTCTCATCTTGTTTTATTTCAGACCTTAATAAACACATGGCTCAAACTTACAAAACATTGCTGAGTCAAACAAGTTCTGCAGCTAGAATATGCTACAACTTATGTAAAAATAAATAAATAATATATATATATATTATGTCATGAAGGCTATGGAGAGAGATCCATTTTTGTGCACCCACTGGTTCAGCGCTTTTTGAAAAGAGTCAGGCGACAGAGACCTGTCACGTGCTCTTTGGCACCGCAGTGGGATTTACCCCTGGTGTTACGTGCTTTGGGAGAACCTCCCTTCGAGCCTCTGTCACAAATCTCTCTCAAACTACTGTCATTAAAGACAGCACTTCTCTTAGCCCTGACTTTGTAAGAGAGTGAGTGATTTATGTGCGCTTTTAGTCTCCCCATCTTGTCTCGTTATCAGAGATGACGGGAGCGCAGCTACTCCGAGGCCGAATCCACATTCATGCCTAAAATCATAACCAGCTCTTTTAGATCGAGAGTTATTTCACTGGAAGGTTTCTTCCCTCCTCCCCACAGGAGGAGAAGAAACATCACACCAACTCTGCCTAGTGCGACCTCTGTCTTATTACGTGATGTGCACAGCAAGCCTCAGAGAGACACAACAGTTGTTTGTACATTACAGAGAGCATTCACAAGGAAAACCCCTCTTGCAATGAAAATGCGAGGATTATGAAATCATGCAAGCCCCGCATATTTCGCGCATTTTACGCGGAAATCGCCGATTTATGCGGCAAAAGTGCGGCGTCTTTGAAAAAATGCGGACTTTGGCTGATTATGCGTTGAATTATGCGATTGCATAATTGCGTTTTTCTGGAGGGACTGTTTAACTAAATCTCATTAGTATTTTATGGAACACAAATATTTTTTCATCATTTTCTTTGTTTTTGAATTATTAAACAACACAGATGATTTGAAAGATTTATTGTAAATTATAATCTGGACCGGGGCGGCTGTGGTTCAGGAGGTAGAGCGGGTCGTCCACTGATAACAGGGTTGGTGGTTCCATCCCCACCTCCTCTGCCATCACTGTGTCAGTGTGTGAATAAGCAGTAAACACTGTATAAAGCACTTTGGATAGAAGCGCTGTATAAATGTCACCATGTTACAATGTTTGGAGCAAAATGTACCTGAACAATAAACAAACATACAGCCAAGTGTTCACAGGAGGGTTCTTCAAGCTCTGGTTTAATGACAGACTCAAGCTATTTTGTAGTCAGTGTGAGATTGTTGGAATTGTTTAGGAGCTGGGTGTGGGATGTTAGCCACTGCTGCTGTGTTAGCTCATGCTTACTTGGCAGAGAGAGCATTAGGAGAGCAGCACACGGACATGGTCCTTCAGCACAGCTTCAAACTGCAGCAGCAACTACTTTGAAGTCAAGCAAAAAAGAAAAATCCTGCTTAACATGATAAACATGAATAATAAACTTGATCCTGTCAGCAGGCATAGTGAGCATGTTAGCATTATGGTATTATTATGTAGCTCAAAGCACCTCTGTGTCTAAGTCCATCCTCACAGAGCTGCTAGCATGACTGTAGACTCTTTAACATTCAGATCACAATGACATGGTTACAGTTAACTCTCTGATTCAGTCATTGTATTGATCAGTTATTGATTTGGAGACAGTTTCTTCTTGTGTTTGAGTGACACAGCAGGACCCTCAGATGATCTGCCATGTGTGTTGTTTTGTGTGTTTGCAGTCTGTCAGGCTGTCTGATCACAGAGGAAGGTTGTGTTTCTCTGGCCTCAGCTCTGAGCTCCAACCCCTCCCATCTGAGAGAGCTGGACCTGAGCTACAATCATCCAGGAGACTCAGGAGTGACGCTGCTGTCTGCTGGACTGAAGGATCCACACTGGAGACTGGACACTCTCAGGTATGAACACTGGTGGAACATAAAAAGGAGATATTTGTGTAGGAGGTCTCCAAGGAGAACATCTCCAGGAACAAAAATGATAATTGCCTGTTGGTAATAATTGATGCAGTTTGGACAGATCTCTGCATGTTAAAGGAACTCAGACGCTACATTCAAGTGTGTTATCAACCTTGTGGACTGTTCCTTTATCATTGTATAACAATGTGTGTATGAGAGTGATGTAATGTCCATGTGTGCATGCTGAAAGAGGAAGTGCTGCTCTGACCCCCCTCCTTCTTTCAGGGTGGAGCCTGGTGGAGTCCGATGGTTGAGACCAGGTGTGAGGAAGTGTAAGTGTGTTTTTAATTGATTCATGAAAACAAAGCATCTTCAAACTGTGTCAGCTTTTCTAACAAACTGTACTGCATGTTGCAACTTTGAGGTGTTTTTATACGATGAAATTGCGGGGGCAAGTGAATCTTACAAACTAGTTGTGATGCTGTCTTGGATTAGGAGCCTGTTGTTATGAGCATTCAGTGTATCTGACAGAATTAGGATTTGTTTTTGATGGTGGGGGGAAGGGTGGGGGCTGACAGCTGTTGCTGCCATTGGACACAGCTTTGAAGGACCGTCTCAGTGAGTCGCTCTCCTCCTGCTGTCTCTGCTCAGTTAGCACGAGCTAACACAGCAGCAGTGACTAACATCTGACACCGAGCCGTTAAACTGTCCTAATGAGCTCACACTGACACCAAAACGTCTCCAGTCTGTCATTAAACCCGTTAAAGGGATATTCAGCTGATTTCCAACCAGTTTTGTATCATAACAATGTGGGTAGTTTGTGTCAGTGAACTGTGGTAAACTTCCCTCCATCTGACCAGCGCCCAGATCTCCCTGCTCATCTCTCAGCTCACATCTTTATTCTCTGGCTCTCAGGCTGTTGCTCCAACTACAGATTGTGCTTCAACATTTTCATGAGCTCACTCACAAAACCACCCCCCCGTCAAACTCAGATAAACTGTTAAATCTAATCAGTGCTGATCAAATATGAACCAAGATTCAGTGACTGTGTTGCCTATTTCTCACCTCAAATGTTTTCAGAAACATATTTTAGTGAAGTGTTTCACTTTAATACGAGATCGTTTGTTACCAGACGTCTGTGGATTTTTGTTCCTGTCTGTTATTAAGATAAGATTGTTTCACAAACCTCTTAATTAAAGAACAGGAATGAAGTATTAGTAAAGCAGTTATTAACAGTTGATGAAGCCATGAATTAATGCTTATGAAGCCTTAAAGGAGACATATTATACGCCTTTTTCAAGAATAAAAAATAAGTCTTACACACCAGTAGGACATGTCTGTGAAGTTTCTTGGTCAAACTCCACTCTGATCCTGTATTTTCGCTTCCCTCAAAAACCCTCTTTTCAGCCTTCATTCATAACAGGCTGTTAAGTGCCTGTAGCTTTAAAAATGCAATGAGTTGTATGTGACGCCGCCCCTCCCTGGTGAGTCACCCACCGGTAATGCTTTGACCCGCCTGCCACTTCCTCCATGCGAGTACGGCTTCAGTATCACTTAGCAACCTGGGTAGCGTGAGGAAAAATGGTGACTGGACAGCAACTCTCAGGTTACATGTTTGACCCAGAGTCCGACCCTGATGCAGAGGAAGAATTTTTTAGAGGAGAGAGAGCAGGATGAACCAGGATGTTTCTCAATGGTAAGTAGTTATGTTCCTTACTCCAACTTTTATTTATTTTTAGATAGCACTTATTAAATCAAGTTTTAGTTAATAAGCCATGCAGAAATTCCCTTCCAGAAGTATTGTTAGTTGTTCAGTTAATAAAACATAAACTTTATGTAGAAAACAATGACTACAATCATAAGTTATTCCCATTACTACTGCATTCTCTTATTACTAATAAAACAACTTTTATTTGTTTTTATATAAATTATATATGTAAAAATTTTGTTAGATAGTGCTTATTAAATCAAGTTTTAGTCAATAAGCCATGCAGAACCCTAAACTCCTCACTCTAATCACTGCTGCTTTTATCACCTGTTAAACTGAACTGTTTACACTGGCAACAACGGTTTACATCATGGACACTATGCATTATCTGCTTACTTACCTTGCACTACCGGACTTGCACTTTTGGATGTGTATCATGTATATTACTGTGTACTCTTTTTATTTAACTCCTTTATTACTTATTACTATGCTATTCTTTTTTCTACTTTTTAATTTTGTACAGATTTTATCTATTTTTTTAACTTGATCATGCACTGTACTGTGGATGCTGCTGCAATTTCGTAATGCTCCAAGTATGATGACAATAAAGGAAATTCAATTCAGAAATTCCCTACCAGAAGTATTGTTAGTTGTTCAGTTAATAAAACATAAACTTTATGTAGAAAATAATGACTGCAATCATAAGTTATTCCCGTTATTCCCATTACTACTGCATTCTCTTATTACTAATAAAACAAATTCCATTAAACATTTTTTAACATTGTTTTCACCTATAACTTTTACAGGTGTTCCTGTGGCAATTGCAGAACAATGCCTACAGTCGAAGAAAACGTGTGCTGCCTTGAAATACCAAAGGTAGTGAGAAGACTGGAAATTCTTACATGGAAATGATCATTTATGTCATCCTCTGTAACTGGATACTGTA